TGTATGTTTAGAAAAATCACGATCCTGAGTTTAGATGAACCCAGTAAATCCTTTACTCCATGGGCTGAGAATTATCACCTTGGATGCTGGAGGACGCTAACCAGCAGGCCTAGAGACTGGCTTCCTAGAATAACAACACTCTTATATTCGGGCCTGACTCCAACATATGTCCCCTTGGGTCCAGTGCGCCTCATATATAAGGAAAACTTCGGAAGCCACTAGATGTTTCAGAACTCCTTCCAGAAGAAAGAGAACCTGACTAGATTCATAAACCAGTATCTGTCTTCTAGATACAGAGGTTAATGAAAACTCTGCTAGTTTTTAAACTATATCAATTAAATCCTTCTTCACCTCTTTGCAAATTTATTTCTACTAGTAGAATTTATAATATGAATTACACTAATTGGTTAGAATGTACAATTATCTATTGTTTTTAGATTACTTATAATATATGTTGTTAGATATTGATAATGTTCTCGTTTTTGTTTGTTTAAACTAAGATTTTTCTGGAAATGAGCACTTCGATGTTGGATAATTTGTATTCTAAATTTTTCTGATGTTTTATACTTAGAGGATTAAACTTACAGATTATAATATCCCCCAAAAGACTGTATTCATTATACAGTACAAGTAGTATAAAGAGATGAATATTATTCAGTTAATTTTTAGAATTGGAGACTATGAAAGGTAACTTTCCCAATTAAATCTTAATAGACAATAAAGTTAAAGCTATAGAATTAATGTTTTATTTGTTTTCAGTTTTGAGTAACTAACTGTAAAGAAACAAATATGTAAACCCATTTATTTCAATTTACAAGGAAGAAGGCTGAAAATTTTTGAGATTTAGTTACTTAATGTAATTCTTAGATAATAGATCCTATCTCATGAATCCATTTAATTTTTTTTCTCATGAAACATTTAACTGGCAGATGTTGAGGCCAAGGGTGGTTCTAACTGAAGCATTGTCCAGGGCCTGTGTGAGTCAGAACAAAGACAATTAAGAGAGGTCATGGTGATAGAACTTGTGAAGGACGTCTAACTCTGAATAAAAGTCCATTGACACAGATATTAGAGAATAGTTTTTGTCTCCACACAGTTCTTTTAGTCATTTGATAGTTGGGTGGCTTGAGACATCCTATGACCCAAGTCAGTGAATACTATGGATAAGTGGAACCATGAATTGCCCTTTTCTGTCTCTAAGCCAGGAGAGGTTTTAAACGGTTGATTTCATATGGAAAGGCCTGTGGTAAGAGAACAAGCAGATATCAATATTTAGCATATTTATGTTTCCTCAATGAAGACAGACCCTCCAAGGTAGAGTTAGGATGCTAGGGGTCTACATAATCTGTGAGTTGCAGCCTTGCTTACCAAGCACTTTATGCTTTGTCGAATACCCATCTTCCACTTCTGAACAACTATGGCTGCTCTAAAATGCTCTAAACATTTTCATTCTCTCCCTTTTTACATGTGTGCATTGAGAGTTAACACTTTAATTACCTTCCCTCACACAGTGCACAAAGATAAGCCATGAATATGGTATAAAACGCACTTCGATGTTGGATAATTTGTATTCTAAATTTTTTTGATGTTTTATACTTAGAGGATTAAATTTATAGATTATAATACCCCCCAAAATACCCTATAGATGATGTAGTACTTTATTCATAGTTTTTAGATTTATGTTTTATATATTTAAAATATATATGCATTAGTCACGAAATACTAAGTTCCAAATTTAGTACTTATCAATTCTTCAGTTTTTTAAAAGGTATGTCTTTAATTTTTTTTGTCTAAAATTTAAAGTCTATATTTTAACATTGAGTAGTATAAAGTGATGTATATTAGTTAATTTTTAGAATCTGAGACTATGACAGACACCTTTCCAATTAAATACGTAATAAACAATAGAGACATAGCCATAGAATTCATGGGTTGTTTTTCATTATTTAAGTAACTATAAGGAAACAGTGATGCAAAAATCCATTTATCTCAATTTACAGATAAGCAGGCTGAAAATTTTTGAGATTTAGCTGCTTAATGCAACACATAGGTGAGACATCTCATCTCATGGATCCATTTAATTTTTTTCTCACAAAACATTTGACTGGCAGATGTTGAGGTCAAGGGTGGTGCTAATGGAAGCAGAGTCTAGGGCCTGTGTGAGTCAGAGCAAAGACATTTAAGGGAGGTCGTGGTGATAGAACTTGCAAAGGACATTTCTGTCTGAATAAAAGTACATCCACACACCTATTAGAGAGCAGTTTTTGTCTCCATATATTTCTTTTAGTCACTTGTTATTCGAGTGGCTTGTGACATCTTATTATCCAAGTCAATGAAGGCTATGAACAAGTGGGACCACAAATTGCCTCCTTCTGGCTTTAGCCAGGAGCAGTTTCAAATGGTTGATTTCATATGAAAAGACCTTTGGTAAGATACTAGGTGGGTGTCAGTATTTAGCATATCTCTGTTTCTAACGATGAAGACATTAGACCCTCTAAGGTAGAGTACAGTTAGGATGCCAGGGCTCTACATAAACTGTGAGTTGTAGCCTTGGTTACCAAGCACCTTTATGCTTTGCTGAATACCCATCTCTCACTTCTGAACAAGTACGGCTGCTCTAAACAAGGGTGCCCCGGGCCCAATATGATGTTCTAATTCACCTTCCATTTTCACTCTCTCCCTTTTTACATGTGTGCATTGAGAGTCAACACTTTAATTACCTTCCTTCACACAGTGCACAAAGATAAGCCATGAAGATGGTATAAAACAAAATCTCTGGCCAATTTATTTAAAATACGATTTCATAGAGCATAAACATAGCTATCATCCTCTTTCCCCATCCTCACTGAGTATCTGAAAACTATACCAAGCACATGGACAAACTGTTTACATACACCTAGCATGACTGTGACCATCTGTAGCATTGACCATCCCACAGCAGCAAAGTCTCACTTTCTGACATGGATCTATGGAATTAGGGAAATATGAGTTTTCTTTTCCATACCTCACAAAGGAACTCTTAATTTCTCTATACCTTAATACCCTCTCCTCCTTCTCTTCTTTGCCATTTTTCTTCTTTCTGAATTATTTCTAAACACTTTTTCTTTTTTCCCCTGTGTTGCTTAAAGTATCATCTAAATATGGTACAACTGGATATTATAGTATCTTAGGATAGATTCAATATTCTTTTAACACAATGATTCTCTTTTATGCTTTTAGCCTTAACAAGCTTTGAAACAAATAACAAATATGAAATTAAGAACAGGTTTGGACAGAGGATTTACTTTGCAGCAGAGGATACTGATTGTTGTACCCGAAATTCCTGTGGGGCTTCCAGACCTTTTACCATGAGGATTCTTGATAATATGGGCCGAGAAGTCATAACTCTGGAGAGACCTCTAAGGTGTGCCAGCTGTTGTTGCCCCTGCTGCCTTCAGGAGGTCAGTGAACAATTTTCTGGGTAATTGTAAAATAGTTCAACAAGAATTTTCACCCTTTTGCTGAAGCTATATAATCAAATGAGATTTAAGGAAAGTTGGTCCACACACTACTGGTTTATGCTCAAGAGGAAATAAGAGGAAAGATGGCAAGATGAAAAACAATGAGAAGTTATCCCTATGTCCCTGAGAATTTTGTCTGGTAGGATTGTGCATCTGCTCAGAGACCATACTTCTCAATCTTCAGGAAAGGCTGGAACAGTAAAGCACTTGGTCAAGTCCCTTACTTGAAATGACCATAGACAATATCCTAGAATACAATTTCTGGAGCAAATATACAGAAAAATGAAGAAAAAACCAGATGTATTAATCTCACAATTTGGACAACCCATTATGGAACAAACCTAAAAGTGAGCTGCTCTGAGAAATCTCAACTCCTGTGTTTTTTGGTTCTCCATTAAAAAAAAAAATGAATGTATTTGAGTCCTCTGTGGTAGATATATACTAATTGTGAGTAACTTTAGTTTCATAATGGCCAGCTCTGTATTGCATGTTACTTGTCAGCCCACTGATAGAGAACATGATCTCGGGGGAGACACCAGTGTATAGAGAATTTATAGGAAAGTTGACCTTTGCCTATAACCCCACTGGTCAGAGACCAGTCCTGCCTGGTCAGTCATTCCATACAAAAGTAGCTGGGAGGCCATGATCCAGAGACATAAAGTCATAGATATTTGGAGTATAATACTATACTTGCTTTAAAAAGATAACTGAAGTTATTCATACTTAATTATTTTGTTTTCCATGTCATTCTGGTTCGGTATGGTAGTATCTATTTATCAATTAGGATATCTGAGCAAAGTCTGAGAGTTTGATGGAATATGGTCTAAAGGTAAAGAATACATTTAAAAGGCATTATCTATTGATCTTAAACAGCAGCACTGGAAGTCTTCCTTTACACATGATCATACTGAGGTACTGTCTGGGTCACCCAGCTAAGTAACACAGCCAAATTTCCCGGCCCCATTTCTTTTCATTATAGTACCATTGCTACTCATATTTGAAAATGGCAATGATCAGAGTTCTGTCCATATATCCAAACCACTGTTTTTAATGGAGTTAGAGAAAAGAGTTCCTTAATAAATGACACATTTTTTATTAACATGGAAATTTCAAAATATACAAGACCAGTAGAGCAGTGCTTAAATGTGTTAAGACTATGTGTTCAGCATGCCTGAGTTTGTGGCTCATCTCTTCTACTTTCTGTTTGTGAAATTTGATACAGGTTAATGAATCTCTCTGTTTCTCAGTTACTTCATCTATAAATAGGGATGATGATACCAACCTGGAAGACAAGTTGTAAATCCGTGGTGCTTAGAAAAGTCTCTGAAATTTACAGAGTATTCAGTAAATGAGAGTTATTATTAGATATCATTATCATTATAATTTATATATGTTCTTTTGCTTTTATAGATAAAAATCCATGCTCCTCCTGGTGTACCTGTAGGGTATGTTACTCAGATTTGGCACCCATACGTGCCAACGTTTACTCTTCAAAATGAGAAGAGAGAAGATGTACTTAAAATTATTACTCCTTGTCTTATCAGCAGTTGTTGTGCAGATATTGATTTTGAGGTAAGAAATGTGATAATCTTTATAGATTTTGCTTTTCTAATATAAGAATAATATAAATTAGAAAGATGTAACAAATACATTAAATAGATATGTATATCTTGATATCTCAAGAGGGAGACAATAGCTCATATATTTCATTTTGATCAAATATATTTGGTCAAAAAGGTGGTTATTGCTCTCATTGAGGATCAGTCCTCATTATCGTAATTGAGAAAAGAGAAAAGTAGAGCCCTGTAGTCAAATAAATATAAGTAAAACATCTAACATCTAAACGTGGTAGTTTTTGTATGGAAGTACAGTATATTATCCATTTTCAGTAGAACCTTTGTTAGTGTAGTCTGACTTCCAAAGCATGTGGATCCCTCCTTAGTCTGAAACACAGGCTGCCAGTGTTCTCAGCACTCTTTAGTAGGTTTGACATCTTTGAGTTCCTACAAAAAGGCCAATTATGCAAAGAGAGTTTTAAAGAAGGTAGTGTAAGACATATTACCCAATAATGCTTCTCTATGGTCTCTCCTTTATCTTTATATTAAATTTGATCATTAGAAACCACAATATAACTGTGTACTTACGATATGGAGAAATTTCATTAGAGCAGTTTTCCAACAGATGGCCTAGCCTGATAGCTCACATTATTTAATTGTGAATATTAAAAGTCTGGTGATTTTAGAAGTTAATCTTGATTTTCTCACTCTATTGGAAAATCAGAAAATGTGGTAAAGTGGACCCACATTTCTATAAAAGGGGCAAAAAAGTCTGAACCTGAGTAGTGCTGCCCCCTTGTGATAATATGTGGGAACTCTGCCAATCACCTTTGACTTCCTAAGGTTTTCCACTATCCAACTTCACTCTTTTATAGTAGTATCTGCCTGGCAATTAGTCACATGATATTCAGTTCCTCTTTTAGATGCTGATCATATGAAAATGAATTTTCTTTGTCATTGACTTAGGATTCTAATGAGCGAGACAGGCATTCCAAGAAAACACATGTGATTTAATAGAGCCTTTATGAACACTCTTAAAATGGAATATGGATTGTGGGGTGAGGGATGTATACTATGTATGTGTAAAGACTTTATAGGTTTATGTATAATAATAGTTCTATATGTAGAGATTATCATTTCTATCAAAGATCCAGAGGAGTCAAAGAAAATTGTTCTTTTAGGGAATATTAGCACAAGTTTAGATACTATATTTTATTTATGGAAAATAAGTGAAGATACTGGAGAAGCAAGTCAGACGGGATCGTGAAACCCTTACATTTAATGCTAAAGAATTTAGAAGTCATCCAGCAACCATTCTGAATGGATACCTTAGAACATATATTATATGTAATAAATTAACTTCCCTCCTGTGCATTTAGAATGGTTCTACTAGGTAACATTTTTGAGAGAATTGAGAAACTAGTCTCTTGAAATGTTTTCAGGCTATATAATGAGAAGTTTGAAGGCAGAAATTGTCAATATGAGGGACCATTATGGAACATGATTTCCATTTGGGCATCGGTGGGCACGGCAACTGGGTGTAGAAACAGAGCAGGGATAGGCAGCATTCTAAAGGAAGAAATAATTTGAGAGACATTTAATAAGTGTACAAAGTAGAATTACGTACAGATTTGATGTCAGTTGAGGATAAAAGAAAATTTGGATATTATTCTGATGTCTGAGGATTAAGATGCTAAATGAATACAGTGCCATTGGCCCAGTTAAAAATCTTGGAAGAGAAATAGTTGATTTGTGGAAAGCTAATAGTGTGTAGTTGAATTGTATTGGATTTCAAGTATGTTGAGGGGTTCGTAGCATGCTGATGGTAGTTAAAGCCATGATAAGATTATTCCAAGGGAGAATAGAAGGAAGACAGGTAGAATCTCTATCCCATGGAGACGATAAGGGAATCTGTGTCCTTCCAGGACTCTTGGTAAAACAGGCAAATCAATATGCCTACATGAAACTGATATTCCAATTCACCCTGCTAGTTGAGTTTAGTGTCTGAATTCATACCACTGTTTCATACCATGGTTTAGCAATCTAAAATCATAGAAATTTATCCTGAGTGGTGATACAGATG